ACCTCCTGCACAGCGATGCCGGTGGCAGCACCAGTTTTGTCCACAGAGGTGGTGACGTCAGGCAGAGGAGGAGCAAGGGTGGCTACAGGGCTGGTGGGTGTCCCCTGGGACACGGAGGGTGCCGGTGGGGACGCGCGGGGCCGGCTGCTGCTGGGTCGCGGCGCCACGGAGGAGCTCGTGGTGGCGGGTGACGGTGCCAGCGCGCCGGTCTGTGACAAGGGGGTTCCCGGAGCTAGGGGGGCCGTGGCCGGCTCCTGCACCACGTCCCCCATTAAGGTGGCAGCAGGGCCGGCCGGGCGGGGGGCCCGGGGGGCGCCCCGGGGGGGGTTTTTTTTTGTCGCAGAGGCCATCCATCCCAACGTGGTGTCTCTCCCCACAGGAATTCCCTCGGATGGGGCGTCTCTTCCCACAGGAATCCCCTCGGACGGAGTGCGCAGGAGGCTGGCGTTGGGCGGCAGCATGGCCGCACCATTGCCGAGGCCTGGAAGGAAACAAGCGCCTGTTACCCGCAGCAAGTCCTGCGAGGGAGCAAGGAGGTGACTTAGGCAGGTAGAGGCCGACAATACCACCGGGTGGGCTGAGTCAGAAAGATAGTTTTGGCTAGTATCGCTTGGAGAAAGAAAGTAAAATAAAATAAAGTAAAATAAAATCGTACAGTAAAATAATAAAATAAAAGCCCTGTTATCAGGGGCCCTTGGAAGGATACGGCGCCCATCTGGGTTTGGGCACATTTCTCTGCTGCCATGATCCAGCACCTTGTCACATCGCCAGCTCATCGGCTTTAGCCGCTTTCGGAGCGTAACGAGGCAGCGACATCGCTTGCCGGGACTTTTCATCTCCGTGCGAGCCCTGTGCTCATCAAACCCAGTTGTTCACAACATCCCATTTTCCCAAAACAACTTTTTCCTTGCCTTTTTTTTTTTAAAAAAAAAATACACCTGGTTGATGCATTTTGCAACATGCAAAACCATTTCCAACAGTTAAGCCACGTGCATCCCAGGACATGTCAGTCTGCACATCCAGCTGAGGTGAGCGGATGCTGCAAATTTTAAGCAGAAAAATGCGTGTGTGGGTATTTCAAATTATGCCATCTGCAAGATGATGTGCAGAGCAAGCTCTTACAGCAAAAGCTTCCTGGCTGCGGCAGCTGGCAGCCAGGCTTTTATACTGGGAGGGAAATGCTGTTGCAGGAGCACATCCTCAGCTACATCCCAAGTGAGACAGAACAATATCACAAGTAGTTCCTCCCTTCTTTCCTTCAGGCAAAAGGCAGGTTTATGGCTTCTGCTAGGCGTCATCGTCAGCACCTTGGTTGTTCCTTGGGGTTTACCCGGCTGAACCTGATAAATGTGGTGGCAAGAGCGTGCAGGAGCGATGGCTTTTGCCTGCCACAGTCTCGGAGCCAGCCGAGAGGTGAGTGTGACTGACGCCAAAGCCGGAAGATGACAGCCCGGTGATGCGGATCTGACACTGGCAGCCCAAAACATAACCCTGCACACAGCGGCTGATCACCCGCCGGAGGAGCTGGACGAGGCACGAGCGGGAGGATGGCAGAGGCGATGCCGGCGCTGGGGTTTCCTCCAGCACCTGGGCTGGCTCCGGACCAGCGCGTTGCACCGCCGGGGACACGAAAAGCCCCAACGCGCCTACGTGCTGTCCTGATCCGCGGAGCCAAAGTTCCGCGAAGGGCTTCCCGGGGCGATG